GAAAGAAGAAGAAAAGAAATAGAAAGAAGAAGAGAGAAGAACAGAGGAAGAAGCCGTTGTCATCACCGTTGCTTTCCGTCTCTCCGTCACCCATCGCCATCACCGTTGCTCTATGTGTATACACAAATCTGTGTATACATACACATAGATCTGTGTGTATACACAACCTGCCGTCGCTATCCGTTGCTCTCCTCCATCTTCTCTCTCTCTTCTCCCTTCTCTCTTCTCCCTATTTAGAGAGAAAAAAAAAATTCAAAACTACGTCGTTTTGAATTTCGGGCCAATCGAGCCTCGAACTTTTCAAGCAGCCAAGCTTTATTGACAGAGACATAGCCAATGTTGTGATTGAACACTACAATGCCCATACACATTAGACACCATGAAAATTCAATTTTTTTTTTCTTTTTATATCAGCAAAAGAGAATCAAAACTTTATTGATCAAAACTAATTTACAATAAGATAGTAAATCAATAAAGAGAGAAAATAGCAACTGCAAATGCTGCATCACAACAAAACAATACGATCCCAACTAGGTTGGCATTAGGAACAAAACTAGGAATTCATTTGCAGGGGCCAATACATGAATAATTTTTTTTGTATGAATAAATATAAACCACAATTATTTTGAATGCAAAAAATAAACTAAAATGTAATATTAAATTAGTACATAAAAAATAAAATATCTATTTATTCATCCATAATTTATGAATAAAGGTAAAGTCATATATTAAATAATTCTTTATACATAGCAACTCAATCATCTATGAAAGTGGAACTCGACGTCTTTCATATCTCGAAAATCTTTAATGATTAACTTTGGTAAAATTTTTAACAATTTCTTTTTAATGTACACAAGCAGAGAGTCGATAATAAATTCATTTTCCATTTTGTTGCCATGTGTAGTTTTGACAATCCCAGAAAAAGAAGTAAATTTTTAATTATATCTAACTTCTTATTCTGAATATTAGGGGGGAGCAGTGGATATACCGATCTGACAAAACCAACAGAACCGCACCGATCCGCCGTATTTTGGACGGATGCATGATGACGAGTTAACGATTGCAGATTGATTTTTTTCAATCTACCTAGTTATGGACGGATGGCGGATTTGATGTTCTTTTGGCCGCAACCGAACCGCTAAACCGCGAGCACCCCTAGTAATTTGTAAGACTTTGTGTTTTCAATTTGTTTGGATATTCTATTTATGTTTTTAATTGAAAAATAGTTTAAATATTCTGTTGAATATATTCTGTTAAAAAAGAGTTTACAACTTGAATATATTTTTTGAATTAAAAAAATAAATGTGTTATTTATCTATATTTTTTTTGAGCTATGATAGAGACCCCCTCCAATCACCACCCCCACAACCCCCACAGACACGTGGCGGGTGGTGATTGGAGGAGCAGGAAAAAAATGTAACCAATGAGAGAGAGAGAGGGGGTTAAAGGGGGTGGAGGGAAAAGGGGGCATGAAACATTTTTGATTTTTTTTTTGTTTTTAAATCTAACTCTAAAAATAAAAAATAAAAAAGATGATATATGCTAGTTGGTTTTTGTTTTCAAAAACAGATATAGATGTAACAATACAGAGGCTTACAATCTCTACTACTGCTCTGTTCATGATTTTGGTAGTTTGAATTGTTTTTATATTTTAAGAATCACAGATTGTAATACTTTATGTGGATGAGGCATGCTGTGATTGTAATATGTGGATGAGGCATGCAGTGATTGTAATACTTTTTTAAGTCATTGATTGTAATACTTTTTTTTTTTGATGAAGTGCACAAGTTAAATTATGTTAAAGATTTATAAAATTATAAACGGTTAAACCGATTCACATCCATCCGCCAATCTGTCAATCCGTTCAATCCACACCCCCCGGATTGGCGGATGGATGTAGATTGATTTTCTCTAATCTACCAATCTAGCGGACGGATAGCAGATTGGAGGTTCCGTAGCTGCAACCGACCCGCACCCACCCTAGTGAATATGCTTATTTATTTTTTTTTAGAAATAAGAGTGGTCTGACTTTTCTTTTTCCACTACATAATACTCTACTTGTTAAACAGTGTAACCAAGAAAAAGTGTGGCCATCTTTAAAATTAAAAATTAAAAATTAAAAAAATGAAAATGTTGGGGGCCATCTATAATAAATAAAAAAAAATTATACATAGTTGAAAGTACTATATCCTAGTTATGTTTTCTGAATTGAGAGGAGGGGCTTGGGCCCTGGTAGTCTCTTCATGAGTCCGTCCCTGGTTGGGATTGGAGAGCAAACTAAATGCAAGCATCACCCCGCAAGTTTGTGAGAAACCAACCAGAACACCTCAATAATTAAACCTTTGCAAATAACCCAATAACATAAATACCAGACAGATGTACATGCAATGCGAATTCATTTGAGTTGCTGTAACATTTTTGTAGTTTTTTTAATTTTTGACGCTGAAACACAGTAGGTGCTTAGGTGGGGTTGAGCCTAAGCTATGGACGTGGCCGTGGACGAATGGGCAGGGGTCCAAGGGGTGGTAGCAATCAGGCATAATGATTGGGGGTTGGTGTGCTTTGCTTTAGCTGAATGTTTGCCATGGCTTAGTGGTTATCATATTTTAAAGTCTAGTTTGGAAGTTCTAAAATTATGGCTTTATGTTCTTCAGGGTTTTTAAGCATTGATTTTGTTCTTTTTGTGAATGTGGGCAAAGCTTGTTTTAAACTCTGTTGCTGCTTTTTTTGTTAGCCAAAAAGCAAGTAGCCAATTTCTAATTGCTGTCAATTTCACTATTTGCAGTCCAAGTATATGCTTCTTGTATTTATTCATATATCTTTATTCATAGGTGTTTTTTCTAAAGCTCGTCCTTCTTTTAGTCATGTTCTTTCCATGCTATTTCTTTGCAATTTCTTGGTGATGTCATTTTTGTTTATGCTGTTGTGAAATTTTGTAGTGCACTAAACTAGCATTTATTGTGAAAAGGACCAACTTTATGGTATTTGGTGTTAGGCATTGAAGTTCATGTAGTATTTGCTGAGATTGCTCAACCATTGCGTCACTTGACTCATCTGCATGTTTTTGAAGGTCCAATAAAATATCACTTGACTTATCTGCAGTTTTTCAAAGGTCCAATAAAATAAGATCACATTTCACTGTTTAGCTTGAGGTTCCACAGAAATTTTGGGTTATTACGATTATTTGATGTTTGTTTTGTACTTTGTGCAAACTGATGTGGAAACTAGGTGGAGAGGACAAAGTTACGAGATAAGCATTGCTGATGTGTATTGTGGGCATTATCACTGTTTGTGTTTATACCAAATTCACATTTTTTTATGCAAAAGCACATGACTTCGGAAAATACATTGTTATTGCCTCTAGTAATATCTCTAATTTTGTCTCTTTATTTTTTTAAAAAAACATTCTTAATCACTTCATGAACATGTCTAGACTGGTATGCAAGGCTTTATTTTGATTTGGTTTATAATTTTAATAATTTATTTCATGTGGACTGGTAGCAATTGTTAGCATATGCATGTGAATAAGCTTGATTGACCTAAACAAGCAGAGAAACATAAAACATAAAGCTCAATCTTCACACTTTTTTTGTTTTTTTATTTTGTTTTGTATTGTTCTTTTTTTTTCTCGAAGGTTTCATTTGTGCAGAATGACAGCTTTTAAGTAGAACCTGCTCAAGTTTTCTGCCACTTTAGCTCATTGCCTAAATAAAAAAAATTCGTAGAAGATAAATGGTCTAGCCACAAATTGAAGGTTTATATTTGGTTCAATGGAATGAGATGGAATGATTATTTTTGGTGAATAATAATTTAGCTACTCTTTATTTTTATAATTATTTTTAATCAATCAAACAGTGGAATGAATATTTTCACATTTTACTTTAATGGACCAAACACTACTTTGATGCTCAAAATGCCTTTACTAATGTGTAATTTGACCTAAAGTCTCAATCATTTTGTTTGGTTTTGTTCATAGGATCAGGTTCTTATTTTTTTTATTTATTATTTTTTTTTTAAGAAATAGAAATTAGATTGTCTAATGATTATTTTGGGTATTACTGTTCTAGTTGAATTTTAGGCTTGGCTATTAAACGGAAAAGGTTGAATTCCTTACATGGATTAAATTTATCCACTTTTACTTTTCAATTGGTTTTTACTTAATGAAAATGGGAAATTTCATCTTCTAAACTGCTGTTGCACTACTGTTTAAGAATCACTTTTTCACTATGTGATATTTGTGGTATGTATAAAATTAATTAGTAGTTTTTTTTCCCCCTTTTACAAAATACTTTCATATATTTGTATCTCATATAAAAAATATTACTTGACTTGGCTTTGTTCTTTCATTTTTGCAGGTGGAACTCTTTTCTAAGGATTTAGTAATTGAAGTTGCCAACCAACAATGTGTGCAGAGGTAACTTTCAAACAAGTGTTTTTTTTTCTAATTTATTTATTTTGGGTACACATTTTTAACGAATTATTGGCTCCCTTGTTTTTATTTTTTTCATGTGTCATAAAGAGTTCTAAAAAGGCAGCAAAAAGTCATAGGAAAGAGCAAGAAGCTATAGTTGCTGCCACAATGGACAATAGAAGTGATGGACCCATTAGAATTTCAGATTTAGGTTCCAATACTCGACAAACTAAATCACCAAATGCAAATGGAGTAGCTGACTCTAGTCAACAACTAAAGAAGAAAACTAGGGGGCCGTCAAAGTTAAAGATGCATGACAAAGGCAAACAAAAGTGTGATGAGATCGACTTCAATGAAAGGAACCAACCAATAGGACAAGAATCAGTGCACTTATCAACCTTAGAAGGGGTCTTAGCTCGGAAGATGGTGCCAATTAATATAGATTATTGGTTTGAAGTTCCAGATGAGATTAAGGATAAGTTATGGGCTTGTGTGAAGTTAGTATGTTTATGCAGTTAATTTTTATACAACAATTCATTATTTTTCCCCCTCTTGTAATACTAAATGTTTGGTTATATGAAAATGCAGCTTAAATACAAAGTACATGATATCCACAAGACACATGTGATGCAAAAGTTCGCAAAATTGTGGCGCAATTACAAGTCTGAACTATCAAGAAAAGTAAGAACTCTTGCTGCAACAGGTAAAGGTCATTTAGCACGTAATATTGCCCTCACCAAACCTAATAAGATTGGAATGGATGAATGGAAGGCATTTGTGAAAAATTGACTTTCAAAAAGCTTCATTGTAAGTGTTTTTTCATAACAGTTTTATGTAGAAGCTCATTTCTTTTCATAATAATTAAGATAAAGTTTACAAATTCTTAAAAAATGTGGGCATTTCAAATGTTTACACTCAGGAAAAGAGTGAAAAATTCAAAGAGATGAGAGCAAAGCAGAAGGTGTTACACACGATGAGTAGAAAAGGCTATGTACGACTAGAGGAAGACATGGTAAGTTTGGCAATATAGACGAAATTTATTCCGAAAGCATTTTGATTTTGTTGCTTCTAATTTTGTACTATGTTTTGATTTTTTTTATTTTTTATTTCTTTTCCAGAAAAATCAAAGCCAAGACCCAGATTCCATATCTAGAGTGGATGTTTGGATCAAAGGACATACAAGGCAGAAGGGGAAACCTATCAATGAAGTGCTTCAGGAAGCAGTGGTATGAATTAGCTTAATATGTTATTAAAGCTTGTGATTTCATTCAATTCAATTGAAAGATTGTAATTCAATTGAAAGATTGCTGGCTGCTACTTTACAATTGCTTTACAATTGAAAGATTGCTATCTGCTGTGCTGTTTTGTTTGGGTTGTTGTTGCTGTGCTGTTTTGTTTTGGTATGGATGTTAAACAAATTGCTAGTTTGTTTTGCTTTTTTTTTTTTTTTTTTCTTTTTGATATGTAGAGATTTTTTTTTTTAATATATGTAGAGGTCTAGTTTGTCTTAAACAAAACCTATGAAGTTGTGCTTGTGATATTACTTCATTTTTCAATTTATTTGATAATTGCTTGCCTTATTGTGGTGAAGTAACTCAGAGGTGAGTTTTGTACCTATTTTTGTAGTTAGTAGAGTTGGTACGTCATTTTCCTCTTTTTCTTCTTTGGATATAAGTACAAACTATGGATTTTGGGTTTTTGGATTTGATTAGAGAAGAAATATCAGTGTTGTTTTCTTGAGACTTGAACTAAACATTACCATCAGCAACATGCCGTAATTATTCTCAATAAAAGGAATGCGGGTGGTGTTTCCTTTCACTTTATGAAATAATTCATAGGTGAGTTTTGCACTTGTTTTTGTAGTTAGCAGACTTGGGTTCCTTATCATACATGTTATATATTGCAGAATAAGGTTCAAGAGCTTCACAAGCCTTCTACAGAAGAAGGGTCAATGTCTATTAAAGATGATGCAATTGTTCAAGCATTTGGTCCAGAACGGCGTGGTAGTGTAAGAGCGCTTGGATTTGGAGCATTGCCATCGAAAGTTGATGCAGCATACCAAAATCAAAATATGAAACAACTAAATGAAAAATTGCTGCTATTAGAACAAGAACTCCGGGAGATGAAAGCTGAAATGTTAAAAAGAAAAAGGCAAAATGAGGTAAAAGAAAAAAAAAATGAACAATGTCACAATATATGAGGTTAAATTTATCTTCCTATAAAATTTAATTGTTTTTTAACTTTGGTACTTCCCATATTAGATATAAGAATATTTCACAAAGTTTGTAAAAATAAAAAATTGATTAATACTTGCAGGAGCCAAGCAAAGGGGCAAATGGACACTCACATGGAGAAACTCAGGTAAACTTGCACATTTGTCATGCTTGTGCTTTTGCTTGCTTGCTTTTCTACTCAAGCTTGTCATTTTGCATATGGATTACATTAAGATTCTAAATTTAAGTAAACAAATGCTTCTTTCCATTGTATTATGATTTTTTTAGGGTGAGGAAAATGGTAGAGGTGAACATAGGGTGCATGGAGGTGATGAATGTAGGATGCACTCACAACAAAATATTTGGGTAAATTTTGTACGGCATTATTAATTAACTCATTTTCATTTTTCTCGTGCTTCTTCTTTTGTTTGCTTGCTTGCTTTTCTACTCAAGAGCTTTTGTCAAACTTTCATAGACATCCCACATCGTCTACAAAATTTGGAAAAACAAATATAACTTGATATTGTATTACATTTTTTTTAGGGTGACGAAAACAATGAAGACGATGAAGATATTTGGGTAAATTTTATATAGCATTAATAATAACTTTAATTTTATCTTCAATTCATTAGCTTATCTTATGTATTGCTTTCATGGTAGTTGCATGACGCAAATGAAACTGGAAATGGTGGATCCTTGGACAATGCCAAATGCAAATTGTTGAATTGGGATAGAACAAAGGTGGTGGTTGCGGAAGGCACAATTGCATCAACAGATTCTAAAGCATTGGTACATCACGTGCCTCTTGGCCCTGGGTGTTGGAAAGTATGGGTTAACCATGTCATAGTCAATGTGCCATTGTTTCGCCCTAATCGTGAGATGTTTGTGCTTGAAGATGCTATTGGAAGCACTGTTGCTTGGCCAACCCATTTCATTAGCTTTGATTTTGAGTAGAACTAACATCTATGGATAGTTTTTGAGGACTTTGATGAATAGATTTTTATAATTTTTGAATAGTTTTGGGTAATGTTTACAAACTTATATATGTACAGTTTTGGATGGTTTATAACTTTTTGGATAATTTAGAACTTAAGAATAGTCTTTTTGGATGTTTTTGAACTTGCAGTTAGGTTTTGGATGTTTGGAATGAATATATTGATAATTTTTTAATGTTTATAATTTATATATATAGTTTATTTTTTATGGTTGAAATAATATTGTCATGGTTGATTAATATTTTGTGAAGCTTGTTTGTAATATTAGATTGTACAAAATAGGTCGTTAAATAGTTTTTAACGGCGTGCGAAGCATGTCATTGAAAGTGAACAACTTTCCATGACTGGTCATAATATGACGTGCCGTTGCACGTCGTAAAAGGGTTTTTACGGCATGCATTGCGCGTCATTAAAACCCTTTTTTCTTGTAGTGTTTGTTAAAATGGCAGCATTCTTTCTTAAAGACAATTTTGCCTCCATGAATTTAATTATCCTCTCTTATTTATCCCTCATCACACTATAGTGGCAGCAGTAATGATGCATCTGCACTTGCAATAGAATGGATAGTAGTGCAGAATATTGCAACATATAATGATGAAGATAGGGACAACTGAGTGGACATAGAGGGCAATAACAGAGTTGAAGCACATAGTTTGACTTGCTCATAGATTGTTTCTACATTTGCATGTGTATATGTGTGGAGCTGAGCCAAGATTGCCTTCATTTCATTTTTCCTATTCTCTGTTGGACTAAATTTGTTTTCTGGATATGGTATAAGAGTGAAGGTTCAAAGGTTTCATCTTTTACTAGCATAGCTATATGTTTATTTATGCCCAAATCTTTTGGTGAATAACTTTGAGAATGAATTAAAACTTTAGTTGTTGTCTATAGAACCAAATTTGGGAACATCAATATGGACCCAGCTATGGTTTTGACTGGAACAGCAAATGAACGGAGAGTCGGACACCATTTTGGTAGTGTTGAGATTGGTCATAGCGAAAGTGCCTACATTTTTCGGGTTACTTTACCTGGTGCTCGTCGCAATGGTTGTAAGTTTCCTGTCCTGCTTATTTATCAATGTGCATATATTAGTAAATGTGTGTTTGAAAACATATGGAGCATGCCTCCTTCAATAAATATGTTGTATCCGTACCGGGTACTTACCGGTATATAGTACTTTGTATAGTATTTCTACATACATATTGGATATACAAAATACGTATTCAAATTTTGTCTTTTTGCGGGAGCGGGAGCGGGAGCGGGAGCGAGGAAGCATGAGCCGATAGAAGTTTTTTAGGTAGGGAGCGCCTCAGGGAGCGGTAATATATATATATATATATATTTTAGTAATTATTTTTTAAATATATTTATTATATAAAGATGAGTTAAATAGTTATTTTTAAATGTATTTATTATTTTTATCTTAGGTATTATTTTTATTGATAATATTTTTAATTTATTTTTTATTTTTAATTGATATATATATTATAAATAAAAAAAATATATAACAAATAAGGAAAAATAAAATATGTTAAAATAAATAATAAATAAAAATTGAATGATTTATTTTATAGATTTTATTAGATTTTTTATTATATATGATTTAATTAGATATTTTATTAATGGCTAAAACATCATTTAATCCTTTTATTTTATTTTTTTGGGCCAATGAAGCTAAATGATGAATCATCATGGCCCAAAGTTTCATCCAAAACCCAAATACAAAACGGGCCAATACTTCCCCTCCATTAAGGCCCATTAGGGCTTTGCCTAGCTTTTTATATATATAAAGGTCTCTTCAACAACCCTAAACACAAACACAGAGACAAAGGGAGCTCACTCTTTCTCTTTCATTTCCATCGCCTACATGAGATCGGCGAATTGGTCGGCGTCCAAGCATGGTGCACGTTTCCTATTATAGGAACTGTATGTCTTCTCTACAAGATCGAAGAAGATTAAAGAAGAAGAAGAGCAGTGACGAGAGACGACGAGCGACGACCACCGAAAACCGATAAGGTCTTCTCTCTTTCTCTTCTGTTCTCTCTTTCTCTTTCGTGCTTCATAGCTTCTGAGTTGTTTTGTTTCCACCAATGATCACATCTTAGACAGGATCGCGTTTCTCTGATCTCTTTATAGAAATGCAATTCTTACACGTTTCTTTCTAAGAAACGCGGAATCGCGTTTCTTACGAAGATTCGTCACCTGGTTGCACGATTCCTGCAGCCAAGACACAAACGTACCTAACATATACCCAAACCGTACCATACCTTAGAAAAAATAATATTTCATTTTACTATAGAGATTAAATTTCTTTCAGTAGATTTCTTTTTAATTTTTAATTTTATACTTAGCATGATTTTAAAATAAGCTATGATTTGTAAGTTATTTAATATAATGATATTTAGTTTTGGTTTATACCTTTACTTTTGACATTAAATGTTAATTGTATGTTGGATCTTAACAAATTAAACCATTTAATCAATTTTTGCATTACTCTAAACTAAAAATAAATATTTTTTTACAAACGTACCAAGCCGTATCCATACCTTACTTTTTTCCAAATTTTAACGTATCGACGTATCCATATCGTACAGGTATCAGTACTTGTACCCATACCAGTGCTTCATAGTTGAAGCCTCCAAAATTTGAATTTAGAATTAAATTAAATTCCCACAATAATTTTTATTGAAAAAATTCAAATGAATTTTATCTAAAAAATTAATGTTAGACCCGAAAACGACGTCAACTTCCCATTCACTCATAAATGGTTTTGACATTCCGTCTTCACCGTGTGACTTGCCTCGCGGCAAGGAACACGTCACCTCTTCGGACCCACCCCAAACAACGTTTGGAGCCCACTCAAAGTTGGCCTCAAAAATATGCCATATAAATACCATTTTTCCAACACTACGATCCACCAAAAACATGACAAAAGAGTCATGCACCACTGCATATAGCTTTCACAAGCATAGAACAAAAAGCCCCCAGCAAGCTGAAATTCAAGAACAAAAAACAACAGCACTCGGGTAAACAACCAAAGACTAGCCGCCACCACCACAGCATATATCAGAAGCAGCAACAGCTTCAACACAGCAGCAGCAAAAAAACTCTTCCAATCCTCTGTGCCAACTTCATATCATACTTCTCATATACACAACTCTAATCAAAATTCAACATGAGAGCTGTATATACACAGCTGCTCTCAAAACCTAGGTGCAAGCGCTAGCTTTAAGTCCCCAAACTACTTGCACATGGAAATACCAAATTGCCACTCAGTTAACCTAATAGCCTACTTTATTTTATTTTTTTGACCGGCAAAAGAAAGGCTTTTATTGATGAAATCAAAATGATACACAAATATCAATAAAAGAGGCAAGAGCAAAAAAGCATCAAAGCAAAACTTCCTAATCCCAACTAGGTTAACACGTAATAGCCTATTTGATTGGCATTCGAACCCATGCATTAATGCTATTTTTGCTACAAACATATAAACATATTACAAAACCCAATACAGAATATAGAACAATGGACAAGATTTTTTAAGTTGGGAGCCAGGTCAAGGTGAAGACCCCGCTTCCTACAGCTGCAATGCCCCCCATCACAAAGGCCGGTAGGTTGCCACCTCCGAATAACGCATCCAATGGTCCACTCACTATAGCCACCAACATCTATTTCAACATGGAAAACGGTATTCTTACAGAATTTTCAAACAAAATTCGAAGTAACAATGACATTTTTTTAAATATAAGATACTTTTTTTTTTTTCTCTGGGGTGAACTATTAATAAGTAATAATAGTTGGACTTAATTTCGTCAAGTTCTATTGAAAATAAGTTATAGTAAAATCATCGCTAAAAATAATTTTTTGTGACAATTTTTTGCATATGTCGCTAAAAATTAACAATTAGTAAAAAAATTTGTCATGATTTTTATAAATTTTTGTTAAAACTTACAATTAGTGATATCTTTCTGAGACGAAATTTTCAAATTAGTAACATTTTTTGTGACCATGTTTTTAAATTGTCACTAATTAGTAACTTTTTTATGACAAAATTGTCAAACTATCACTGAAAATTAATAGTTATTGGCTGTTTTTAACAGTATTTGATGAAAACCACCACTGATTATCATAGGATTTATTGGACAGTACCACCTAATGAGACCTCTACGTAAGTCCCCTTTTTTTTGTTACGTAGTCAAATTTTCCACTAAATACAAGTTTTTAATAGGTTGCAACTGTAGCGATTCTAATTTTTTGTGAATCATTATTTATTATTATTATGATAATTATTACTTTATTTTATTTTTAGTCTTATTAATTACGTGGTTACATGAGAATTTAATGTGTTATGTAGTTAATTTAATGTGTTCGTTAATTATATATAATTAATCTGAATATTTATATTTATATATGTTGTATTTAGGTTGTATTTGGAAAATATAGTATAATAATATATATTAGGTTTAAGTGTGCTGCCCTTTAGAGAGAGAGAAAAAAAAAGCAGCCGCGTAAGCCCGACAGAGAGAGAGAGAGAGAAAGAGGGCATTGTGGTTCAGTCGAGAGTGATAGAAAGCAGCGAGAGAAAGAGGAGGGGAAAAAAGAAAAAAAAAAGATTAGGGTTTTGTTTGGGAGGTTCCATTAGTTCTTCAAATAATTCTTTGATCTTTAAAAATAATTGCGTGTACAAAATCCATTTTTCTTGATTTATGTTTAATTCGTTATTTTTATTTTTTTAGTTTTATTTATTTGTTGTTGGGGTTTTTTTTTTTTTTTTTTTGATCAACAAAATAAGAAAACTTTATTGATGAAATCAAAACATACATTACATATGGTGACCATCAATGAATAAAAGACAAGAGCTCGATAGCATCATAGCATCCCAACCTGATCTCAACTAGGTTGGCACCAAGAGGGATGCCCAATCATGTGCTAACTTAAGCCAAAATGTTGGTGAGAAACCAACAACAAACAGAAAAATCACACCAAAACAAAAGAGTAACAAACAATGAAATAGACCCCACCAGTTAAAACTACCAAACAACAACCACTTATCTTACAGATAACGATCTCCACAGCCAAAAATTAGCCTAGAATTTTGATTCTGTTTCGCTGCCTTGAGTAAGATCTTACTTGTTGAAGGTTGAACACCACATCATTAATAGAAAAATGTATCCCATTTGTGTTATATGTCAACCATAAAGCAATTCTAACCTTCAATAACTCCCCAAAATCTGTAAAATCTGGTTGAATTGCATTGAACACACATTCATTTCTGAGCTTCCACACATACCACATGATAGCAAAAGGAATAGAATGTCATATCCTCCTTTCAAACCTGCTACAGCTTGTACCTAACCACCATTCCAGAAGATCTCCAATAGACCCAGGAATTATCCAAGACAAGTTCCACAAATCCAATAATTTAGACCACATTCTCTATACCAAAAGGGTAGTATGATGTGATTGACAGTTTCCACATTCTGTCTGCAAAACAAACAATAATTGTTCACATTGGGATCCAAAACTCCAATTCTTTGAAGATAGAAAGTTGTTTTCACTCGATCTTTCCAAGCCAACCAACCAAAAAATTTCACTCCCTTTACCCCACATTAGTTCAGTAATCCTAAGAGATGGGCCTTAAGCAGACTCACACCATCTTCTGGCAGAGAAAACATAAAAAGAGCCCATTGGTTCTGTCTTCCACCATGCTTGATCATTAATATTGATCCTTAGAGTGGGAACATTCTCCAATATCTCAATAAGCCTTTTAACCTCCTCATTTTCCCAAGCTCTTAAAGGCCTTTTGAATGAGAATTGCCACCCTCCAGCTGCATCTCTGATTTGATCAAAAGACCTCAAGGAGCCATCCTTATCCTCTGATAAGTTAAAAAGCCTAGGGAAGACATCCTCCAACTTTTCAATCACCAGCCATTTGTCTCTCCAAAAGTGTGTCCTTTCACCATTACCAATCACAATTTTAAAATTTTAACAAAAAATGAGTGCAGATCAACATTTGACAGAATAGAAGATAATATATCTCGTCGAACTAAGGACATAGATCTAGTAATCACCACATTTGGGCTCCAACCCCCACCATTATGACCATATTTGCTTGCCACAACACTCTTCCATAATGATCTATTCTCTGCACCATATCTCCACCACCATTTTAGAAGCAAACTCTCATTGAGATCCTTAATTCTACTTACTTCCAATCCACATTGAGCTTTAGTTTTGGTAACTTCCTTCCATCTCAGCAAGTAAACTTTTTTCTTCACATTTGAACCTCCCCATAAAAAGGCAGCTTGCAATTTCTCAATAATCTTTACCACCCCTTTTGGCATTCTAAAAATAGATAGATAGTAGATAGGAAAATTTGATAGTATTGACTTAATGAGTGTCAGTCTGCCTGCGAAAGACAACAATTTTCTTTTCCAAGATGCTAATTTCATCTTCACCTTATCCATAATTGGTTGCCATGTCTTCTTTCTTCTTGGATTTGCTCCCAAAGGTAATCCCAAATACTTTAATGGTAACTTTTGCCAACCACAATTGAGTAATGATGCATAATATTGAACATTCTCATCTTCCACCCCAATTCCACATTCTCATCTTCCACCCCAATTCCACATACCACACTCTTATGAAAATTAATTTTTAATCCTAATAGTTTCTCATAGCATCTTAAAATCCTTTTTATTGACAGGATCTCATCCCTATCAGCCTCACACAGAATTATTGTATCATCAGCGAATTAAAAATGAGAAATACTAACCTCTTGACTGCCTACCACTGCCCCTTTTATCAATCCCCTTGTTTTTGCCCTTGATAACAATATATTTAGTCCCTCTTCCACTATTGTAAAGAGGAATGGTGAGAGTGGATCCCCTTGTCGAATCCCTTTTCTAGGTGAAAACTACTCAGTACATGATCCATTTACCAACACCGATAGTCTTGCTGTTGAAATGCAGGTTTTAATCCATTTCAACCATTTCTCACCAAATCCAAAGGTATTCATCATAGATAATAAAAATTCCCAATTGACTGAGTTATAAGCTTTTTAAAAATCAAGCTTCAAAATTAAGCCCTTTTTTCTTCGATTTCCTCCAACCATCTACCACCTCATTAATAATCAACACTCCATCGAGGATATATCATCCCCCCAAAAAAGCAGTCTGGACTTTACTTATAATCTCAGGTAGCACCATCTTTAATCTTCTTGCTAACACTTTTGCCAAAACCTTGTAAGTTGAGTTGATAAGACTGATGGGCCTGTAGTCAGATAAGTCAGAGGGGTTATCATTTTTGGGAATGAGGGCAATGAACGTGCTATTAATGCCTTTCACCAATTTTCCATTCAAGTGAAACTCCTTTACAAATTGTACGAAATCATTCTTCATGAATCTCCAACATTTTTTGATACATGTAGTCCATCCGGCCCAGGAGCTTTATTTCCTTCGCAATCTTTTATAGCTAGCCCAATTTCATCTTCAAAGAATGCAGTCTCTAGTACTTCTTCAACCTTTACCTTATAGATGATTTTGAATTGTCCTGAAAGTTTCGGCTTGCTAACCCAATTTTCAGAGAACAAATTGGGAAAATGTCTATATACTTCATGTTTAATTGCAATTGGCTCATCAACTTTGACACCATTCACTTGAACTGAATCAAGTAAGGTTCTACTTCTCCTCTTGTTAGCACAAATGTGAAAAAATCTGGTATTCTTATCCCTCATCTGAGCCCAATCCAATCTAGATTTCTGAAACCATAGAGAATCTTTCCATTTCCTTAGTTTTCACACCAGGCCCTTAGCTTCACATCTACTTGCATTTTCAAATTCAGATAATTCTCTTTTTTCTGCCTCCAAATCAAATCCATGCAAAACCTTCTCAGCTTGTTTCAACTGATGATCAATATTTTCAAAAACCTCTTGATTCCATACCTGCAATTATGTTTCAATGTTGTGAATTTTAACCTTAGTTTGTATCCAGCCCACCCATCCTCCCGTATCCCAGACCATGCTGCTGCTATTTGTTTAAAATTAGAATGTAAAGTCCATGCATTTATAAATCTGAATGGCTTTGACCATGCAACTGACATTACTGGGTAAAGTTCGTCAGATGCAGTATTTAGATGGGTTCCTTGTCAGCAAGCTCGATAACCTTGTAGTGGATTTGATCGATGATTATTCTACTGATTGGTCAGTGGACTCAGATAGGGGATTGCGAATCAGGGGCAGGTTGTGTGTACCTAAGATTGTTGAATTGAGGAAAGAGATTATGAATTATGCTCATAGATCCCGATATACTATTCACCTTGGTGGGATTAAGATATATAATTACTTGAAGAGGACGTTTTGGTGGAAATGTATGAAGAAGGACGTAGGAGAGTATGTTTCTCGATGTTATGTATGTCAACAGGTTAAGAAAGAACACCAACGACTGTTTGGACTTTTATAGCCTCTCAAGATCCTTACTTGAAAATGGGAGTACATCTCAATGAACTTCGTGGATGGATTACCTCGGTCTAAGCGAGGAAATTAATCTATTTGAGTGATTGTGGATCGACTCACCAAGTTTGCTCATTTTATTCCTATCAGTGTTCACCGAATTGTGGATAAACTAGCTAGTCTATATATTCAGAAAGTGGTGCGACTTCATGGCGCGCC